TTTCCCTATACAAATTTCCTCCATTGTTTCGATTTCCCTAGCGTTTCATGTTTCTTGCAAATTTTCTCCATTTCCTCTTTTGAGATCTCGATAATGAGAATTTCCTAGAAACGAATCGACGCACGGTGCATTCACGTGCGTTCACGTTCACCGTTCTTACATATGCAATTGCCAATGCGTGCACGCGCGGCGCACGCGCGACCATCCCCGTGCGCGCGTGCATCCGCTCGGGCTTTAAATAAACAATTTTCGCGCTAACGGCCTGGCCGATGCCCATTACGTACGCATGCCTCCCGCGGCGCCTGTATACGCGCTCGTACGCAACACCCGCCTATGGGGTGTTCCAAAAATCCGTTTCTTTTACCTAAAAACTCTGCTGTCAAGTCGGAATGAAGTTTCCCTTCAAACGTTTGAAAAGGTACTTTTCTTCGAGTTTTGTACGTCCTACTTTGGATACGAAATTTCTTCTCAGGTATAATTAACTAGATTTTCTTAATTTAAATTACAAAAGAAATGCAGGTGGTATATTTATGTATTCGTAGAAAAAAAAATCTCTCCGCTCCATTACGAGTAGTTGATAAATCCTTTGAGGAAAGAAAGCCGTCATGATTCCGAGACACCCGGTAGCTACACGCAACCTCTGCTTGCGTGTGTCACCGGTACACGCACGTGCAGCATATATGCATGCATACATACACATATACACATATACGCCACGGTGAAGTTAGGTGCACGCCGCTGGATTTTCCAGGGTTTTCCCAGGGTTGCGGTAGAGCGTTGAACCGGGTGGAGGGTGGGTGACGTGTAAGGGTGGAAGGGAGAGCAGCAGCGAGCGAGCGGATGGTGGTGGCTGAGGCGGGTGAAGAGGAAGAGGAGGAGGAGAAGGATGAGGAGGTGGTGGCCGCATGGTGAAGAGGGGTAAAGAGAGATAGATGGATGAAGGGGGAGGGAGGGAGTGCGGTGAGGGAGGGAGAAACTATAATGAGTGGTGCGCGCAAGGGAGAACGAGATAAAAAGGGGGATAGGGGGTGGTAGTGTAGGCAAGGCGGGCGGCTGGGCGGAATGGGGGAAAAAGCAGGGTTGGTACAGGGGTAAAAAGGTTGGAAGCTGTGGCAACTGCCGTGGCGGCGGTGACGGCGGCGGCGGCGGCACGGCGGCGGCGGCGGTGGTGGCAGAGGGTGGAAGGGGGGAACTCTGCTCGCTGCGGATGGTGGAAGAGGGGTAGACGGGGGTGGATCGAGCACGACGGGTCAATTTGAGTATCCGGGGGTGTATGGGGATGAGAGGGGTTGGTGGAAGGCGGGAGGGCGTGCGGACGCATGGTCCAGGGGCCTAAAGGCAGTAAACGTCGAAAAATCCGACCGCGTTCGGGCCGTTCGATGGCTCGGAAGAGGGTCGAAGCCGCGATCGACCATTACAACGCGCGAGTCGAGTATCGCGCGTCGTGCACCGGTGGTGTGCGCGGTGTAACGTCGAGAGACCGCACTGGGGATAGGGGTGAAACACACACGCGTATTGAGAGAGATAGAAAGAGGGAAAGA